ATTGCATCTGGTTTTCCTGCATCATTATTTCCTTCCACCCTTGGGAATACCATGTAGGGCACATGATTTCTTCAACAATGTCCTTGCATTTCTAAACCCAGTACATTTGACTGAGAATCATCTCGGGAATTAAGTGACAGAGAAACATAGGCAGGGATCCAAATATGTGCCCAGAGCTTGTTCTTGTTAAGTAGAATTTCTGGGTTGTGTTTTTCATTTGTTTCCTTTGAACACCTGATTCCTGCATTTTATCACAACACGTTTTTCAAATCTCCCTCAATCTCAAAATCAGTTTGCAGTGTGGCATCAGCAGCTGCTGATGATTAAAAAAGAGTCAAAAAAGTCCAGAAAACCGTACACAAACTGCTCAAATGGTGTCCTTTAATAAGAACAGTATTTGTGTGTGTGGGGAAAAGTAACTACTTTTTGACAACATATGTGGCTCTAAATTGTGACTATATGCAGACATAGAGCTATACCTGTAAATGCACTGATGATCACTTAAAAGAACAAAAGTTACAGTAAGCTCTTTGTCTTTCCTTTACTAACCATTTGTATTGGCTCTTGCCTTTCCATTGGACCATTTCAGCAACATGGAGAGGGGGGATTTGCTGCTTGGGTAACAGCCTATCCTCCATACTACTTTACCCAGGCTTCATGCTCTGGAGAGGACACTTCTTGATATAGAGCATGTTACCATAGTCTCTCGAGACTGAAAGATGCCTGTGCCTCCCTGCTTGGAGACATTCACACCAACCAAAAACCTTCTAGAGGTGGTTTTGGGGTTCCATGATGGTTAGAAAAGATTATTCAACTATGCTCAATTCTACCTTTGTGTCAGCAGAAGTCTCCTACTGGATCTTGCCCAGTCTGAACCTAATTCATATATAGGATAAAATAATTGTACAATAGTTAGTATTTGACTTTATTTTGGTTGTATGCTGTTGCTCTGATAGTTTACTGTAATACTGAAGGATTATTCTATGGTGTGGGTTAACTGGAATTATTACATTTATTTTCTCTTTCAACACTGGATATTCCCTCAGCTACTTCTGTTTGACATAATGTAAGAAAATCAGAAGATGTTTCCATATTTTCACTTTCCCACACTTTTCTCTCTTCCCATGTTACTTATAAATCTCTTCTCCATTCTTTTGACCTTTGTTTCTATATATTTGGTGAACATCGCTGAATATTTAGGGGGAAAGGTGTTCTGTTTTATATTTTTCTGCAAGTGTATAGGTTTCCCCCATGTTTGGTTCATCTGAAATCAGCTCAATGCTGCCTATTGTCATTTCTTATTTACTTGCTGTGTTTTGTATTCATTTCCCACTATTTGGAAAAATCAGTTGCTAGTATCATACCCGCTGGAACCAAACCAGAATGGAGTGATCTGACCCACATCAAAAAATTAGTAGCCCTGACAAGGGACCCAAAAAGGTGTGGGTGGATATCAATCATTCTGCATAACAAATGTCCTTCTGAACACAGCTGTAGTCTGAAGTTAGCTCCACCCACAAGATATGGTTATATGGTTATGATGCTGCAAACAATAATAAAGCAAAAATTAAGATGTGGATAGGGATTGGTGAAGGGAGTTCCTGGTCTTTTGGCAGACTTCTGATCTTTAACTATGTTTAATGGCCTACTGACTTTATGTCCTCACCTCACTTTGTGCTCCTCAGTAATCATGGGGTAGTATCATTTGAAGTTGGTATATTCAATGTGTCACCTTGTGATTTTTTTTTTTAGTATAACATAAAAATGTTCAAGGTTTTTAAAGGACTGACGATTGTTTTTCCAAATGTCTATATTTTCATTAGTATGCCTTAGCATTTGGTATTATTTTTGGCAGCAGCTTAACAGAAATAATCTTGTTTTCAGTTATTTGACTTGTATGCAATCCAGCACATTTTATTTTATGCTAAGCTGCTTAAAAATGCTACTTGTCTCTGCTTATGGTTAATGAGAAAGCACCAAGTCCTGACCATTAACTTAACCAAACTGATCTGTTGAGTGTACTGTCTCTTGCCTTCCCCCTGCTGGCAGATAATTATGGAGATGGGACACAAATTACTTGGAAGAATAGAAATGTTCTACACATGAATGATGGGTTTCTTTAAAGCTAAGGTCTAGTTCTACCTTCTCCTTCAAAATAGCTGAAAGATTTCAAAAGTATGTACATTGATGCTTGTGATAACAAGTCAACAGGACAGGATGCTGGCCAATTTCAATATAATTTTAAGTTAACCATAGTTCATAGAATGAATCTGGCTTGCAGACGTTCAAACAAATTTTCATCCAAGATTAGTTCATTTGTCATCTCTTTGAATACTCAGCTGCTGAACTAAAATTCTTTTGAATGGCTAACCATTCTCTGTGTGCCACAGGTTGCTTCTCCATTCCTCTTCCCATTGGCTCACAGCAGTAATAAAGCACAGAATGCAAATGTTAGTTTCCTGTGAGATTCTTGCTTAATATCTCTAAGCAAAATAACAGCCGCAAAGTTTCCTACCCTTCTTCCACCCTCAACACTTAGTGTAAAAGCTTCTTGGTTTCTGTAATTGAGTACCCTCCATATATTTTCCTGTTGGAAGCATTTCACCTGTACGTAGCTGAACATTTCCTGAATCTAGGAAATGAAGCCAGTTGGCCTTCTCTCCAAGTGAGCACAGCTTAGGTGACTCTCAGAATGAAGAATTATGGGATTTGTAGTCTAAGAAGTTCAAAATATGCATCCCTAGCAATGACATTTCTTGGCCTTCCTTGAATATACAAAAATAACTATATAGATTAAAAATTGCCCTCCTGAGAAGGGAAACATTTATTTATGTTTTTTTGTTTGTTTATAATAAATAGTATGTAATAATATATACTAGTTGCTGATCTGTTTCTAGGCAGAATTCAAAGTGCTGGTTCTAACTTATAAAACCTTAAATGGCTTGGGCTCAGACTCTCAGGGACTGCATCTGCTTTTACAAGACTGCTTAAGTGTTAAGATCATCAGGAAAAGGTACAACAATACATTTTAAAACCCTACTCAGCCAGCCAGTCACTCAGGGAAAGCTTACCTGAAGAGAAAGGTCTTTGCTTGCTTATGGAAGGAAGCCGAGACGGGGGCAGCTTGGCCTCCTGTGGGAGGGGATTCCAAAGTCTAGGAAGAGCAAAAGAGAAGGCCCTCTCCCATGTACTCACCAAATGCACCTGTGAAAGTGGTGAGACCAAGGATGTGTAAAAACCAAGGATGTATAAAAATCAATTATATTTTAAAATAGAATTGGTTTAAATTGTGATTTAAATCACAATTTAAAAAAAAATTATTTTTAAAATTTAAATCATTCAAATCCACTCTGTCAGGAGAGGCCATGCCCTAGGTAGGGATGTAGCTGGGCATTCAACAGAAGCTGATAAAAAAGCACTTTTGGTCGCAGCAGATACTTGTGCCTCCATAGAGAGAGCTGGATCCATGAATATCCGCAAGCTGTGCACCTGGTCCTTTTCATTTCATAGTCACTTTTCTTCAGGTGGTAGTGACAGAACCTTTAAATCAGACATGTATTTAATGGAAACTTTAAGGTTATTTAAAAAGGTTTTTGATTTGTGATAATACCACAATTGCAACAAAAGTGGACAATAGTTCAACATGAGAGAGGTGAAGCATAAAACAACAATTGTAGTCTTCAGATTTAGGCACTGACAACAGCTGTTGATGTATTTTTTTTTAAAATAATACCTACAGTTACTAAAAATCTGTTATGAAAACCTCTGTTAGAACTCAATCTAATAAAATGGATTTTGAAATGGAAAATATCATTTGCATTTCTTAAACTTTAAAATGTTTGTCATATGGTGTGACCTAGATTTATTAGACTGTAGTAGTTTTAGTGCAATTTGGCTGGGAAGTTTGTCATGACATCAGTGTAATCTCTAAGCAGTATGTGATTTCAGTTGGTTCCAGTGTTAAATATTTTCATAATTATGCTAGTTTTGGCAGTTAATGTGGAACTTTTTCACATCTCTTTTAATGAACATGTTTTATTTCTGGACTTTTGAGCAACCACATATGTTTCAAAAATTAATTGTGTGTTTTCAGAGTTAACATTGAGCAGAAATATGTATGACTACAGTTTTCTTTGACATAAAAAGCTCTAAACAGAAACATAGTTCTTATAAGGTCACGGCCACACGAGCTGCCTCAAAATAATTGAAGTGTAGTTTAAAAAATAATAATTGTTGTTGCATTTTAAGATCTAAATCCAATTTTTAATCTCAACTAGAGTTGACTCAGTGAGCCATTGGGACCCACTGATTTAATGAAACCCATTCATTCAGTGGGTGTAATCTAGTTGGGACTAATAGTCATATGTAACTTTAAAATGTAATACTTTGCCATGACTCAAGCTCCAGATAACCTCACCTGGATGACTGAGAATCTTCAGAGACATTTTGAGAACTTTGCTTTTTAGTAAATTTTTGTTTTGTTTTTGGATGATACATTAAAATTAAGATGGTATTCTGATTAGAATTAGTATATTTGATTACCTTGGATTAGTAATGTGTGCCCTTTCTTATACTGTGAAGTAATTTTGGTACCAACAGTGTGTCCTTCATGATTATATGGACTTCATATTAGCATTGCATTGTCAATTTTGAATGGAAACTTCTTTTCCCTGTTACAAGTACAGATTGTTCACTATCAGGGTTGAAAGCTGTTTCTAAAAAGGTCTCCTCCTAAACCGAGTATGTAGATGTAGGGTTTTTTATTGCAATGGATAAAAGTACAGTACAAATGGGACTATCTTGAGAAGCCTAAGCTACAATCTTCATTGGGTATACAAAATTAGTGATACCCTTCTCTGAAATATGTTCTCTGTTGCTCTTTTCTACCATTTCCACTGTAAAATAAATGCAGTAGTATAATTGCTTTCAAAACCTGCTTGCTGAAAAGTTTGTTCTTTTTTTTGCCTGATTTGCAGTGAACTGTTTGTTACATTTTGTAGGATGACCATGACAGCTGTGGTTCCAGTTCAACGAATCGTAGTACTTCAGAAAGTGCAAAAACAGCAACGAAAGCAAGAAGAATTCAACAAGCTGCTCCTGATCCTGACTTGCCACCAGGTAGTTTGTTATATAAATTGGATACCTGACACTTAATAACAAATGTAATAACTGTTTTCAGTTTGAAGTAGAGGAAAAGTTTGCTCCTCTTACACCATTGCCATTTTTAACCATTTACATCAAAAGATCATTTTTAAATTTAATTTTTAAAAAGATGATTTTAAAAATATCATTGATTTTATTCACCTTGGAAGCCAGTAGTTTATTCCTTTCAATTTGGCATTTATGTAAAAAACAGCTATTACAGACCTATTTACTTAGCCCAGGACACTCTTAACATTTAGAAGGGGGAAAGCAGGGATCAAAGGCCTTTGACTTCCCCCCTTACTACCATGTATAAAACGACCCTCAATTTTTCCCCTCTAATTATTTTAGGAAAAAGTGTCATTTTATACACAAAAGAATATGGTACTTTGGGGGAGGATCAGAGCAGACATAGCTCTCCATGTTCAGGGGTAAGCAAGTGCAGTCCCCCGAACCTTTCTTTAAATTGATGATAATTTTGCAATAATGTTTATGGGAGCCCATGGGAAGTCTTAATTTCCATTGGTGGTCGGATAGCTGCAAATTGAAGACCTGGATTTTTTGTTTCTAGGGATTTTTGTTGCTCTTGCTGTTTTGTTTTGTCTAAGCTATTGCTTTTCTAGTGTGTGGATTTTTTTGCTGGGTTTCTGAACTCTTTTCATTTGGTGGATGTTAAAGTTCCTGAAGTCTAGAATAAAGTGTTTTTGTTTTATTTTATTTCAGGTTTCCTTAACTAGTACATTTATTGACCTTTATCTGTATTTTACAACTTGCTTCCAAATAAAAAAAATTGAACAAATCTTTATTTCTATTTAGGTTACGTACAGAGTTTAATTTGGCGAGTTATAAACAATGTCAATATTGTCATCAATAACCTCATACTCAAATATGTGGAGGATGATATTGTTCTTTCAGTCAACATCACTTCAGCAGAATGTTACACAGTGGATGAATTTTGGGATCGAGCATTCATGGACATATCAGGTAAGTGATCAGTCTAGTTTTTCAGAGATATTGCTCATGTTTTAGATAAACGTCTCAGCCCGGGAGAAATTAGATGAAGGAGATCAGAGTCGATTGACCAGGACACACAGGTTGATGTCCTGCTTATGGCTATCCATATTTGTAAGTGACTTCAGTTTCTGAATTTCCTCATTGTCTTCTGAGTATATGAGGCTCCCTGCCTTGAGCTTTCCAGAATTTTTGAAGTGAATACCAGACAAATATATTTGGAGCTTCCTTATTAAAGCAGTATTGTGAACACTTAGGGATATGGTAAAATTGTGTAAGGTCCTTTAAATATGTATCTGGTAAATACTGTAGTGTTAAATCATTATGAATTAAACCAGTGTGCCTTTTGTTTTGTCCTATTGAAAACTGAGCAATATTTTTCTTCCTTTTCATAGCAACTGATTTGGTACTAAGGAAAGTGATAAATTTTTCTGACTGCACAGTTTGCTTAGACAAGAGGAACGCTAGTGGTAAAATAGAATTTTATCAAGATCCACTGCTATACAAGTGTTCATTTACAACTCGTCTACACTTCACTTATGATAATCTTAATTCCAAGATGCCATCCATTATTAAAGTAAGTACCTTTCCAGATCTATGTTAAATTTTCATGTGTAAATAATTTTATTTCTTAGTGTACTATTATATATCAAAAACTGAACCCCTAAGAGAGATTAATTTCTGTTTTATCCATGAGAAATTCTGAGCCAGAACTTTGTATTTTAATAATTTGACTATACACTATTATAATGGCATTTCTAATGTTAGCATGGCCAATTCATTTCACTGGTTGTTAGCTTTGACCATGTGAGATAATGAATGAAATCCCGTTACTTTGTAATGCATGTGGAAGGCAAATATTCAGTTACCTCTAGCTGGCAATTAACGGACACTTCTGGGATTCTTGAGAGTGCATGCACCTGCTGGCTTGACATACGTGTTTGCCTTCTCCATGTGTAACAAAACAAGAGGATTTTAAACATTATATAGTTTATTCTTTTCTGATGCAAGTACAAATTATGAACCAGTGGAAAAACATTATGTAGAAAACAAAAATATTACTGTGGTTCAAACTTCTTAATATTTTGGGCAAATTCCTGTTTGTTCATTGTTGTTGTTTTGACTTATATATCACCCCATAGAGTTAAAGCACTCTCTGGGTGGTTTGCAACATATTTATGTAAGGAACACTTTGCCCTCCTGTGAACTGGGAATTCATTTTATTGACCTCAGAAGGATGGAAGGCTGAGTTAACCTTGAGCTGGCTACCTGAACCCATTGGGCTCAAACTCAGGTTGTGAGCAGATGCTTGACTGCAGTACTGCAGATGAACCACAGGGCTTGCTTTATGTAATCAGCTGGGTAGTTTCTGAGCTCGCACAAGGTAGTATTACTGGATGCCCCGTTGTGTGAGCTCAGAAACTGGCCAGTCGCTTATAAAATGGGCTGTTGCATGAGCAAAGGAGTAAATTTTAACCACAATTCAAAACAGGACCTACCAAGATATATATCTTGGGAAGATAACCGTCACAGCTCTACAGAAGTAATCTGATGGTTCAACAACATGAGCTGTGAAAGACCAACTAAGTATGTTTGGAACATACTTCCGGATATATGCATGTGATTATCAGGGCCTGTCATTGGGGAGGTCACTTTGTGATTATCAGGGCCTGTCATTGGGGAGGTCAGGAGGGCTATATGGCCCAGGCCTCAAATTATGATAACACATTTAAAATACACCATAATTTTTATAACTCTGTTTTGGCATTTTAAAATTATTTTTATATACTGGGGGCTTCAAGAAATGGGAATGGCTCAGGCCTGTCTTGACCTCTGCCAGGCCCTGGTGTCTATCTGTTCCTGTGTAACAGCTAATTTGGATGATACGGTTAATATAACACACAGCATAGGTTGTGGCTTTGTGTGTACATTTATTCAATAGCACATTGTTTCAGTGGCTAATATACACTGACACTTGATTATCCAGTATTTAGAGCTATTCAATTAAATTTCAGTTTGTTGAACTGAAATGTAATGTTTAACTACAATGTACTTAAGACTGTTGCTAAAGAAAATACTTTGGTATCTAGAACTGTTGGATCGTGGTCTGTAAAGAGCTGATTCTAACCTAGACAGCTATCAATTTGAGATTCATGTTTATCTGGACATTATGTAACCAGATCTTCCTCGTTTGAGACATGTGTTTCGGCATCAAAATACTAAAGAACATGAGGAGCACTTCTGACCAGATAAATATTTTGGAAGTGCCTTACTTTTCTTAGCTTTTACATACACCATTAATTGTAAACTAAGTATTTTTTTTACCTTTCAGTATCTCTGAATAAGATAGAAAAAGATTACAGCTAAGATAATTTAAAAGATATTTGGGTTTCTCAAATGTAAATAGATAATTCTATAGAACTGTAGTTAAAACAAACTCTTGACATTCTTAAGACATTTCTCTGTTGTGTTGTACGGCCAGTATATGTAAGCAGAATGTTAAATCTTGCCTTTTTCGCCCCATTACACTTGCCAAGTTGATACTTTTGATTGAGGAATGAAGTTCAGCCATGGCTTGAACATCATGTTTTATGCCAAGTTTTAGCAGAAAGGAAATTTTTATGGCAAAATCATAAATGTCTGTCAGCACATAATGGAAACACTGACACCATCTTCACTACTGTCAATTGGTGTTGTGGTTGTAATAATGAATTCTGTGCTTTCCTTTTCTCCAATATTTATAGAGATGGTTTTAATGAATTTTGGATTGCCATAAAATAAGTGCCAGAGAGCCTGGATTTATGCTAGAAAATTAAAATGTGTATTTATAAATAGTTTGCTTGTTTACTTCTGTAGTTGGCCAAAGACCTCCATCGAAGTACTCTTGAATGTCTCTTTTTGAAAACATTGGCATAATGTGTAACATTTTCTGATTACCACTTTAATTTGTCTTGCAAATTTGTCTGTTTCATTTAAAAAGCTATGTTTTGTCTTCATTGTGGAACCTGATCCAGTACATGTTCTGTTCTGTTTTGCTTTGTTTCTGTCCTGCCTTTCTCTCAAGAGTGGCATTAAAGGAATGTTACAATTAAACAAAATAAAAAAACACACAAGACCCTGAAGTGAATAAAAGTGTAACAATTTAAAACAAGTTCAAAAACACACCTATAAGAGGAAATATATCACCTAGCAAAGACCCCACCCCTGGACTGGATACACTGGTGTCCTATTGAGTGGAACAGAGGCCCAATTGAGAACTGCAGATGGGGAGAGGCTATTGAATATGACTAAACTCCCTATGTACTGTTGGGGTAGAAGGTACAATGTGCCCAACAGAAAGTTATACCCTGTTCCCCCTACCCTTATGAAGATACATTCCAGCAATAGAAAGAGTTCAAGGTCAAGGAGACTAACCTAGCCAAATCCATCCTGGGTGGTGGCAGTACTGGTAGTCCCATCATCATATGTGCCAAGTTCTTCAAATGTGTCTGTTAGAAGATGATCTGTCTTCTGAATGCTGTATGACTGAATTTTAAGAGCAAGGTTGTTAGCATAAATAAAACCTGACTTCACAGAGAAGTGGGTGGTTGTTGATGTTGAATGTTAAACCAAATAGGAAGCAGTACACTGAATAGGAAGCAGTACATTCTTTTGATTCTATTGGCAGTATTGTCCTTGAAAATTAACAACAAAATAAGTGATTTTGCAAAAAGGTTGCTATTAGTGTAGCTGCTTTATAATCCTTGGTTGTGTAGGCCTACTGCTTTGACATTTTTGCAGCTACCAATAGTTTTTTCCAGTTTATTTAAGTTGTAAGGTCTTGTAAGATCATTGGTCTCCATTTGCTTGTTTCTTTCAAGTTTAAGTTCTAATTTCCTGTGGCAGTGTTCATATCTGCCATTAATGTGGACTTTATTTTCAGAAATGTTTTTGTGAGTATAATTCTGGGTCATTGTAAATTAATTAATTTATTGGATTTATACCCTGCTCCATCTGGCAACCAGGCTACTCTGGGCGGCTAACAACAAGACAAACAACACAATATCAAAACATGATAAAAATAAAATAATACAAACATTCAACAGATAAAGTAACTAGTAGGATAAATTAAAACAGATGGCTATGAAGATGATAAAAAGGATGATGAATGGGAAGCTGAGATATAAAAAAACTTAATGCTCAGGGAATACCAGGCAGAAGAGCCAAGTCTTCAATGCTTGTTTAAACCCATCCAGCGAGGGTGCCAGGAGGATCTCCATGGGCAGATTGTCCCACAGGTGGCAGCGGAGAAGGCATGGTTTCTTGTTCTTTCCCTCAGGGTCTCCTTCGGGGTCAATGCCCTCAATTGTCCTGCCTGAGAAGAATGGGTATTACGGACATATCTGGCTGGGAGCAGACGTTCTGCTAGGTACTGAGCTCCTAAACCATTTAGGGCTTTAAATGTTATCATCATACCCTTGAAGTCAATGTGGAAATGAACCAGTAGCCAATGAAGGGCGGCCAGAATGGGGGAGATATGCTGAAATTTCTTCACCCCAGTTATTAATCTGGCTGCTGAATTCTGGACCGGTTGTAGCCTCCGCATCAACCTCAAGGGTAGTCCCACATAGAGAGCACCAGCTTTATTTATTTTTTATATAAATAACTTACCTAGCTGGTTCAAAAACCCCAAGCTCCCCCCTCCCAGACTTGCTAATAGACCTATATCAACACTTCTGCACGCCGATGACACCGTGATCCTCTCTAGAACTCATGCTGGCCTAAGGAGGGCTTTGCAGAAACTCTATTTTATGAAACTGAGTTTCTAACAATAAACTATCAGAAAACTAAGATAGTTGCCTTTGGGCGCAAACCAAACCTGGTCAATTAAGGGTCACCGTATTGAACAAGTTAATAACTTCAAATACCTAGGGGCTCAAGGGTTCAACATAGTAAGTACGCGGTTGATCAAGGAGAAAGGACTGCAATTGGTATAGCAAAGTTTCACTGCTCTCAGGGCGGTTTCTTTGTTCCTGCAGCTCTTAAACTCTATAAGACTAAGATTCTTGCACTACTGCTATATAGTTCATTTTTGGGGCCACCTAGTTCACATTTTGCACTCAAGAAAGGGTACAATTTGAATTCTTAAGAACCATCCTTCAAGTCCCCAGATATGTCTCAAATGGAAGAATATGATTGGAGATAGGTCTTCTAAAACTCGAGGCCTGGGTTTACATCCTGTCTGTCTGTCTGTCTGTCTGTCTGTCTGTCTGTCTCTCTCTCTCTCTCTC